CCCCCCCCCCCCATCAGCCCTCCCTACCCTCCTCTGCCCCATGTATGTCTGTTTAGTCACTCAACATCACTGTCTACACTTTTACTGCTTTTCTGTTTCCCTTCCCCCATCCCATAACAAATGCTCAGTCTTAAGACATATCACAAAGTTTTGGAATATTGTCTTGAAATATATTTTGATAGATTAGTAGAGGGTATTTAAACTCAGTTTACTGACCAGTTTATTGAGAGTTTAGCAGCAAAGACACAGATTTCGCTAAATCTATCCAAATAATCGCAATATGATGTTCTTATGCACCATATTGTGCATGGGATATATTTGGTAGGGCTGTACCCAAATCAAGATTTTCAGAGTCAGCACTTCAAGCCGGCACAGTTCATCTACAATAATGAATGAAATATATTATTCACTGCCTCCGCCTAGTTACAGTACAGCTGCACCTGTAGAGCACCCGCCCCACACTAAACTGCTGCAGTGTTTTACCTGTAAGACTCTCATCATATGTGGAATGAAAATATAACTTTCCCCCACAGTCAACCCAATGAAATGTGTGTATCCTGGTCATAGTTCCCTAATCTCTCTCCTGCTGCTGACAGGCTGCCCGCCAAGCTGGACGGTGTGGCCGACCTCGCTAACGTTCAGCACTGGAGCAGCAAATAGACTCTGGTGCTGTTCTGTGTCACTCTGCCCTCCATTTCCACCGCCCCTCTCTGTTTCCATCACGTTTTGTATTTTGGTCATTTTGAAACGTGACATGTTTGTTAAAAGGTTATAGCCTGCCAGGCTGTTGATTTGTTTCCAATGACGAAGCTAAAAAAACAGTGCAGTGATTCGACTGACAAAAAACGAGCTGACTCTGAAGCTTCTCAACCGATGATTTGAATCATCCGCATTTAAAACTAATTGTCGTTTTTACTTTTCTGTTTATATACCGGTTAAACACAGGCTGACAGCATGTTAATTACTGAACTTGAGGGATATATATTTTTTTTTTTACTTTGCTGCTGAGCACGTAGTGCTGCTGGAAACAGGCGTTGGTCAGAGGGAAACTAAATATTGAAGCTGCAGCCATAAAACCAAAACAAAGAAAGACAAATGTCTTGTAGCTATGTTTTTTGTTTTGGGGCTTTTATTGCCTTTTATCAATAGTGACGGCTGAAGAGTGACAGGAAAGGGCGGGAGAGAAAGGAGATGACACACAGGGCTGCAGGTCGGGTTCAAACCCATAACTGCTGCAGCACGGATTCAGCCTTGGTACATAGGGTGCTAGCTCTACCTGGTGAGCTAACCCAGCGCACTGTGGCTATGTTTTTTTTTTTTTTACTAGCGTCAATGGATCAGCCTCTGTAATTTTTAAACCCTCTGTACATAACATTTTGTTTTCTCTCTAACTAAGATTTTGATGCATGCTGTCTAAAATGCAATCATATGTCAACAGCCTGGAGTAATAAGTGGGAAATTGCTGAAAACGTTATGAATCAGTTTGGTGTAAATAGTCACAACAAAGGGTTTTTGAAATTGTTTTTCCACTCCTTTTCCTTAAATGTAGTTTTTCTGGGTCAAGCGGTCTGATTTTTGGAGTGTGGAACAGGATTTTCTGAAAGGCAGAGGAGGAATGCAACACAGAACATAATCGTATTTGTCGTGTTATGTAAAAGGCCATAGGCTGTTATTATGGTGACTTTAATAGGATTAACAGTCAAATCAGGTTTCTTTTTGAGTGAATAATACATCGACAGGGTGTGCTGGTAGGCTTATGCAACGCTCAGAGCGTTCCTCTCTGAAAATGCAGTCACTACACCAGCTGTATTGTTTGGACATATAGTAACTTTATTCTGAAGCAATGTGGCTGCCTTCTGCTGTGTGTCAGGTGTGGGTGCTGGACAGCGAAACAGTGAATGACCATTTGACTTTTTAGACTCGTACAGAGTTGAAGCTGCTTTTGTTGCCATTTGCACTTTTCCCCCTGTAGACTATTAACACATTCAGTTGTTTTTCATACCTTTGTTAAAACAGGCAGATGTGATAATAGCCCGTTAGCGAAACACTGACACATTCACTATGTGCCGAGTGCTTTAATTGGAGGTTGACCCATTTTCACATGCCAG